ATATTTAATTTATAAAGTAATTTTATTTCCAAAACAATTTAGAATGAGTTGAATTTAATGTAAGAAATTACCATGAAATCTGATTTTGCTGGATTTGCCTTAGCAGATGGAGCACAATCTAGTGGTCTAGAAGATGTTTTGCCTTTGCTACTGTTGTTAGTTTAATGAGTAGCTTTTTTTTCTTTCTGAATTCATAAAAAATATTTTCCATTGGAGTAGGATTGGTTTCTTTGATTCCTGGTTTTGGAATTTGTATCTCCTTTTGGATGACTATGGTTAAATTCTGATATATATATTTGTCGGTGTATTTACACCGTCGCTTGAAAAAAAGTAATTTTATTTCCTTTCAATTTATTGAAAAGCACACTGCACACCATATTTAAAATATGATGGATTTTAAAATTCAAAATAAAAATTGAAAGAATAAATAGATTATTGTACTAAAATATTAGTTCTTTTTAAATATTATATTAATAATCCAAATAATAAATACCCTAAATCATAAAATTCAATTACTATTATTTTTACATGGCATGTTTCTCATATTCATGCATGCTTTTGTGGTAAGTCTTCTATATTTTTCCGCTTTGCTCTCATAGTATGTGTAGACAATTTTAGATCTCAATTAAGACAAGTTTAGATCTGATTTTGGAGGCATGTTTGATATATTGACTTATTAGTATGTTTTTTTTTTGTAATATAGAATATCCTGTTATGAAATTAATCCCCACTTACTCCCTATCATGATCATTCATTCTTGGGGAATCCAATGGTTTGAATTGGTGATTACATCTAAACCATTGGATTTTTCAAGATTGGATAAATAAGATGAGGAGTAAGTGTTTTTCCACTTACTCTTTGAGTAAGTATTTTTCCACTTACTCAAACCTCCTCCTCTTTTATAGTGCGTAGCTGTCCATATCAGTAAGTGTCGTTTTGAGGTAAAGGGGACAAAAGATAAAAATCTTAATGAATGAATGAAATGTCATCCATTAATTCATATAAATATTCATTTAAATTATATTTTAAATCAGTCAATCCATATCCAAACTTAATGGATCAATTTTAATTCATCAATAACTTATATTTATGGATTTGGATGGATGAATATCCAACCCATTTGATTATTTAATTTGAACTAAAAACAATTTTGAAGAAAATCATTCTTTTAAAAATAATTATTTGCATAAAACCTTTTTAAAATCACCTTTAAAAAAAACACACTTTTAAAATTCATTATTTTGAAAAAAGGTAAGTAATGATTATTTTGAAAAAAGGTTAGTAATGATTATTTTTAAAAAGGTAAGTAATGCAAAGTTTTTGATATATATATATATATATATATATATATATATAACTTTTAATATTAGCTACATACGTCTGCCTTATAATTGATCTTGATTTAATAAAAAATTCGAAGTAAGTGAAGAAACACTATAAGAAAATGAGAGTTGAGATAATGAATTAAATTGAAAATCAAAGACATAATTTTTTGAGTGTTTGTTTTTTAGATGGATTGGATATCCATCAAAATTGATATTCGTTGGATATGATGAATGAATTTTAATTCATCGAGTAAATTAATCCATTGAAATATATTCATTGAAATTCATTAGCTTTAATAAATAGATTTGAATGAATTTAATTTCTTGGATTTTATTGGATTATGGATAATTTTGTACATCTAATATCAGGAATTGAATCATTGACTTTTTGATCTTTCTGAAGATTTAACATGATCTTACACTATTAGATCAATATTTTTATGTACTTTGATTCCTAATTGATACAGCTTGTAAGTATTATTGGTGGACCACTTTTAATTGGGAATAATTTTAAAGATTTCACCGATCATTTGAATTTGATTTGATTTAAAAATTAAATTAGATGTGTTGACTAGGATTATTTTCCAATAATTTGACTCGATACTAGATTTCATTTTATTTATATTTATTTGATTTGGTGATTACGACAATAACATCTTTCCATTTATATTATGTCAAACAATTTTGTGGTTAAAAATATGGAAAAACCTATGAAACTTCTTAACTTTATATCTTTTATAATTAGTCATTTTGAACTATTTTTTATTCTTAATTGTCCTTAAACTTTAATTATTGGTGAAATTGCTCTATACATAAAGATAATGTTAAATTAATAACATTATACCACAATCCTTCAAAATCCAAGAAAATGAAATTCATTCATTAGAGGTAATGGATATCCAACTCATCAAAAAAATAAACCCTCACTTTCTTGTTGTTTCTCATTCTCACATTAACTTTTTGTTAAAATAAGATCAATTATAGAACATGTGGATGTGATTAATATTAAAATTGCATTCTTAATAAATATATAGCATATATAAATATCTCTTAAAAACTTTACACATATAACTTAAACATGACATGCTTGTAGAATATTGCAAAAACATAGTTTTTGTAAAAGTTTAGAATTTTAAAAAAAAAAAGTGTTTCTGTAAAAATATATAAAACACTAATTAAAATAATATTTTTTGAAAAGTGCTTTTTAAATAATTCTTTATTTAAATAGTGGTTTGTAAAAGAATGAATTTTTACAAAATACGTTTACTTTAAATTAAAAAAATAAAATATATTGAATATTCATTCATCAAATCACTTAAAATAGATTTATGGATTGAGTGAAATTCATTCATTAAAGTTAGATATGGATGAATTGAATAATTTAAAATATGATTTAAATAGATTTATGGGGATTGATGGATGATTTTACATCCATGATAAAAATCTAAATCTATTTATTTGCTACTGATACATAATACTCAATTATTGTTGTAAACCATATTTTTTCTTAGGTTAGATACATAAAAAAAATGGTGCAAGAATAAATAGTAATAAAATTATGATATATGTTTCCTTTCCATATTATAAAATTGTTAACCACCTCATTCACCTATAAATACAGTCGATAGTGGCTTCAAGTTTCTCACACATTAACAAGTCTAATTATCTCTGTGACTAAGTGGAAATGGAGAAAACCTCTATCAAGATGATTGTTGTGACAATTCTTTTGGTTATTGCATTAGGTAAGTTTTTTTTTCATCCTTGCATATATGAACATGTATCATGAAAGAATGGAAACGACTAATACATTTTTTCTTTCTATCTTCATTAATGTTTTTATTGAAATTCGAATTGTACCTAATTCATAGATTTTGTCATCTTTCTTTTAGGGCTAAACAATGAATCAAATGGAGTTGAAGCAAGAAATGTGGTATCTCTACATTGCGATAAAGATACTGATTGTCATTGTAGTGGTAATGTGTGTGACACCAAAAACCATGTATGTGTTTGCGCTGAGCCATCATGTTTTTGCCTACCACCTCTCCTCAAAATTATGAATTGAAATAAAGCCATACATATGTAAGCTATAATTATGCATATTTATACATCAAGTGCATAATATAACATTTATTGAATAAAAACATTATCATGTTTCCTTTCCATATTATAAATTGTCAACCATAAAAACATGATAAATAAAACTATCATTTACACCACAATCATAAAGCTGGAATCTTTTTTTTTTATATAACCAATGATATCTTCTCATTTTATGATAAGAAATTAATTTCTTTTTTTATTTCTCCTCCAATAAATGTTATTCCCAGAAATTGAATTATTTATATTTTGGTATACATGAACATTTAGTGGGGTATCGTTGTATAATGTCATGTCAAGGAGCACTTTATATATATATATATAAAGTTTAGCCTCTATCCTTATTTTGTTGATATTTATAAAATAATTGTATTTCTTTTAAATTTATTGACAAAACACACAATATTTAAAATATGGTATACTTTAAGAGTTCAATGAAAAAAATTCAAAGAATAAGATTAAGGAGATTATTATATGAAAAATATTAGTTCATTTTAAACATTACATCAATAATTAGAATAAATACTTGAAATATATCAAAATTTTCAATTACTATTATTTATTCGTGCCATGTGTCTTGTATTCTGACTAGGTGTATAAATATTCAGTTCAATTTTTGGTGCAATTTAGTGATTGAACCGAACACATATATATAATTTGGCTCTCTTCAATTAACTTTAAACTTTACTATAAGAACCGTACCAAACCAAACCGATCGTGAATGATTTGGTTTAGTTACACAGTTTTCTTGGTTTTTTAAATCATTCATTAATTGAATTTTCAACATATATTACATAGGACATTTTTGTCCATAAAATAAAAATATTATTTCAATCCACAATTAATAATATATATAATAATTTAGTAATATAATTATCTATTAGGAACATATATAACAATATAATTAGTATCATATATATATATATATATATATAAATTAACATATAACAATTTATGCTGTAGTGTCACTACAACAAACTTTGTATTTAGTGGAGGTTTTTTTTTACATTTAGTGGATGTTTTTAACCTCCACAATATAACTAGCAGATGTTTCATAAACACCTCCACAGTTATGACCGCTAGAAGCGTTTAGTGGAGGTTTTAGAAAACCCCTGTTATTGACAAATTTATAGTGGTTTATTAGTGGAGGTTTTTAGCCTCCGCTATTTGAGGAAGTTTTTAACCTCCGCTATTTGTGGAGGTTTTTAACCAATACTATTTGAGGAGTTTTTTGTAGCATTTATCGTGGAGGTTGTAAACCTCCACCATATGCGGAGGTTTTTTGCAGTGTTTGTCATATAGGCTTTAAACCTCCACTATTTGAGAAAGTTAATTTTGGATATTTTCAACCTCTACTAATTGAAATAACATATGAAGAGAAATGTATTCAACATCAATTTAATCTCATAAATTTCACAACTTTAATCTCATTAGTTTATAATTATTATTTAAATATACAATATTAAATACAAATGTTCTTAGCAATAATAAATTTTTATTTCAAATAACCAAGGTAACATAACAGAGTTGAAAGAGTTATAATTCATTTATTATAAACCCAAATACTCCATAAAATCTCAAAAAACTAAAAGTAATCTCATACGGCACTTTAACAACAAAATACATAGCAAATATCATAAATGTTGTTAACTCTAAATGATCCTCGTGCACCCAAAGGTGTATCAGTCATACTTGCATCATCATTTGCCTGAAATAATAAAATAAAAACATTTAGTTGGAATAATAAAAAAAACATACGGCACAAATAAAACAATTATACTCACCCAAAGTTCCGATGTATCCCATGGCATGTTGGGGTGACTCTATTGTATCCATGCTCAATAAATAAATAAATAAAAAGCTATCTAATAAATTGACATGATTCAATGCTCAATACCAACGAAGAATACACACCATTGTGTAAAGTGGTTCATAAAGTTTCTGATATTTATCTTCCAACTCTACTTGTTGCTCTAAAAACTTACCCTGAAACGAATCATGTTGGCTCTGCAAATTGAAAACCATGTTAGACCTTCTCCCATAAATTGAAAGCACAAAATCAAGTACATTATTTTTTATGAGCAGTTATAAGATACATCCTTAGTTAAGAGTTATTACTTAAGCAAATGCTCTGTACACCTCAACTTTTCTCTCCATATTCTTCGAGTTTTTCATACGCCACCTAGTATGTGATTTCAAGTAATCAATATTCCCTACAAGATAGGACCAGATTTTTTTTTATTTCCCAAGGACAAAATTATAAATAACAATATTAAATAATTTTTTGAAATAAAGAATATTACAACAACCAAATCCTGTAAATCAATCAGAGGTACATATCTTAAGACTTGAGCTCTCTCTTGGAGGACAATGAGGTACATATCTAAAATATGGTGTCACAATCCACAGTCAATGTGTTAATATAAATTCACATGTATAACAAAATTAATAAGTTTACTCAGTATAAAATCGAAAGTATTCAACTTACATATTCGACAACTATAGTTTGTTGTAAAATATTTGCCTCATCTTTCAAATTCTGCCTTTCAGGCGGTCCATCAACACACACATCACATCTGCACGGAATGAGGAGATTCATCAAGCAAGTGATAGTGTAAACTTTAGAATTAATAAGTGATAGTAGAACACACATGAATAAGTATTAGTGAATAGCACATATGAATAACATCTTATAAGTATTGTGTTGATATATGTCCACTATTTATATAACAAAAAACTGTGTTCATTATTTTATTTTCTACTATTTGAGAATAGGCCTCTCGTGGAAGGAAGAAAATTGTGGGTGTTTTCTATAAAGGAAATGAGTATGCTTCCCAAAATCCTAACTTTGTAGGGTGTGTTGAATGAGCCCTCGGCATTCACGAGTGGCTCGAATCACAGGGTCATAAGTACATTGTTACTGATGATAAATAAGGACCTAATTATGGTTAGTACATCATCAGTATATGACATTTTATGCAATTAAGCAACCTAAGTTCAACAAATTTTATGCTTTAATTTTATGATTACTTAAACTTGTGACTATTTGTTATCTTTAATTGCAGAACTTGACAAACACCTTCCTGATCTCCATGCATGTTCTCATTTCTACACCGTTCCATCCGACCTATGTCACTGCAGAAAGAATCAAGAAAGCTAAGAATTTAGAACTGCTTTTGACTGCTAACATTGGATCTGATCACATTGATCTTAAGTGATAGTGCAAATTGAGACAAAAGTACTATAACTCATTTGCATTATACAGAGGGTAGGTCCCTCACACATACTATTTCTATCTACAAAAAAAAGAAATAAAGATATCACCAAGTAATTTTCATCAATAAGAATCATAAATTAGAATTATTAATAAGAATCATAAATTAGAATTATAAATAAGAATCAATTTACTTAAACAAAATTATTTACTCAAATTTTATCAAACACTTGGTGTGCAGCTATACCTTCAAGCTTGAACCATCTTCTTTTTCAACATATGTTATCATAAAGATCAACTTTTCCTTGCTTTGTTCTTTGCCACCATTTGTAATCGGTTTTCACCATGGTTATGGGGAGATTTCCAGAGATAAGAAAAGTGAATAGAAGAAGCAAACATACATCATCAATCAAATTAACACACTACAAAATTGAGCATTATCCTTGCATCAGTTGAATACAAGAAGCAATAATTCCTAAATACTATCCAACATATAAAAGTAGCAAATTAAATGCAAAGTAGAATAAGTAGCAAATTCATTCTCTAATCCAGCATATGGATAGAGAATAAAATCTTCCTCCCACTTTAGCAAGATTCAGAGATTGAGAGAGATGTGATAATCCACTCATCTAAAGTTCATTATGAAAAAACTTGCAACACATAAAAATAAATTCAAACACATAAATAAATTACAAAGTGCAAAAGAAATGGTTACCAAAGAGAAGAGAAAGGTTGAATCATACCGAATAAACGATGAACCAGCGATGAATCAAATTCAGTTGGAAGCAATGAAGAAGCGATGAAGAGGCGATGAAGAAACGATGAAGAAAATGAAGAACCACCGAAAACCTAAAACATATTTAGAAATGAAGATGCTAACTCACGAGCCATAAAGAAAATGAAGAAAATGAAGACATGTTTTCAACCAGGGAATGAAGAAAGGTTTATAAGTATTATGTTTTTATTTGATAGTTCAACCTCACAGATTAAATAAAAACCTCTATTATATGTTTAATTAATTGTCCAGCTTACCTTATTTAATTTATTTGTGGAGGTTTGAATAATTTTCACATAAAAACTTCCACAAAATACAACATTTCTTGTAGTGTGTATGCTAGTTTAAAACCAAATATCACGAAAAATTAAAAGATGTATTATAAATCATCGCGACATTATGAAACTAGCACATATATAAAATTTAGTAAGTAGTAATATATATAACAATTTATGTCAAATTCACACTAAATATGTAATTAAAGCCACAAAACCGAAGAATTTTAAAAAAATACAACATTATTATCTAATATCTATTTTTTTAATATGTGATTCGATTCGAACATTTCTAAATTTCCAAAACTATAAACTAAGCTTAAACAATTCCTTAAAAAAGAAATCAAATCAAACCGTGAAGCTGAACTGAATCACATTTTATGGTTTGGTTCTTTCACGGTTTAAACGGGAACTGCTTATACAATACCCCTCACTCTTATATGGTTTTTTCCACTTTTTTTGCATCAATTTTAGATCTGAATGTTCATGCCACTCTTAACATGAAAATCAGAATCACATTTAATGTAAGGACCCGATTTTCATAACTCAAAAATTCTCTTTTAAAATCCTTATTCGTGAAAGTGAAGTGATTACTTTTGAAAGACATTACTCGAACAGTTTGGAAACTTGAGAGAATACGTTTATAAATTTACAAGGCGGAAATATTTCAAACACCCTTCATTTCAAAAGCATGTCATTACACTTCCGTTCAAATACATCCTTTATACAATTACACTTTCTCAAAATTACCTTGAATACAAACATTAGATCCACTTCAATATACACTTACAAGAAAGTTGTTTATACATGAATTCACTTTAACATGTTCTTCATATTACAAATATTTATCATATAACATATCAATTACATATTATCCGCTACTCTATCATGTACTCTTCTCCGCAAGCGTCCAATGCGCTACTTCCACAACCTGAACCCAAATATACAACACATACAAGGAACGACAGAGGGAGTAAGAACCAACTACGGCGACCGTAGCGTGGATTTACATGGAGTAATGACATTAAAGTATTAAAACCACACACATCTAACATCATCATGATATGTATATATCAATCAACACATATTATCCATATTCACCCTATAGTACACATATATCCCATACTATATGTGTTCTATAGTGTGCATACTTATTCATCACATTTTATCCATATTCACCCTATAGTACACATACATCCCATACAATATGTGTTCTATAGTGTGCATACTTATTCATCGCATTTTATCCATATTCACTCTATAGTACACATACATCTCATACTATATGTGTTCTATAGTGTGCATATTTATTTATCGCGTATTATCCATATTCATCCTATAGGATATACATCCCATAGTATATATCCTATGGCATGCATATGATTTTCATTCCGAGTATACACTTTTCACATCCTTCACATTCCATAATAATTTACCATTGATCTCATTCAACAATTCTGCACCGTACAAATAATCACCATACCCCATCAGGAAGGTCGAGTAATCCCCATACCACCTCGGGCAGGTCGAGTTTCCACATTACACTCACATCCATGTCATACATAGTCAACACAAGGCATCTCATTATTTTATCACCATAAATAACATACAACACCTTCATTGTCACAAACATACCTTTATCCATTTTAACACATTCACAGCTCATCACACATTCATTGTTACAACACACTTATACATGTTTATAACAATCAACTACTCACAACATACTCATTTTGATAAACATACTCATATCCATTTTGACACATTCACAACTCATCACACATTCACAACTCATCACACATTCATTGGTACAATCCACCCATACATGTTTATAACAATCAACCACTTACAACATACTCATTTATGCTTATGACCATAAATATCTCACACACCATCATTATCACACAACATAACCATTATCATAAACAAACCACGCATAACATATTCTTCATCATATACACATTAACGTTAGAACCATCTTTAATGACGGTGTATTACATAAATGAGCATATATCGTTTTACTCAAATAAACGGTTTTCCCCACACATATATCTCCACTTTTATGGCTAATACATCCTCATGTAAAATATAGACTCTCACATGGACCACAAACTCTCAAGAGAGTTTCTATCCGTTAATATGCTCCGATTCTTGAGGGAAATCGGAGATGGTGACTCTAATGAAATACTCTAAGACCACAATGGTCTTCTCCCTCACCTTAGGTTGCGTAAGCTCCGTTGCTCCGCAAAAGAGCCACATCTCCCTTCATCTCCTCCAACCTCCATTGTTGCTTTTTCACCTCCAAGTTTTTCCAAATGTGTCACCATGAAGCAAGAGGAAGGTTTTGAGGAGTTTTGAGGCTTAGTGGAGGTAAAAATGGTCCATTTGGGTTGAGCCATCGTTGGGAGAGAAAGGGGTAGAAAGAAAATGAAGATTAGGGTTTCTAGATCTTTTTTTTCACTTTTATAGTCACAGCGATGAGTGTAATCGATTACCATATGGTGTAATCGATTACATCAGTTAAACGACTTGATGTAATCAATTATAAACATGTTGTAATCGATTACAATATGAAAAATTACACATGTCTGATCAGATATCAGCATGTAATCGATTACCAGGACCATGTAATCGATTACATCATGAAAAATTACACATGTCTGATCAGATATCAGAATGTAATCGATTACCAATACCATGTAACCGATTACATCACGAAAAATTACACATATTTGATCAGATATCAGCATGTAATCGATTACCAGGATTGTGTAATCGATTACACTGTTTCAGAGTGCCCAAAATTGCCATTTCTCGCCCGGACAACTCTCTCTCAGGCGAGACTTCCAGGACTGATACTATAATTTTGAAGACTCAAATTTAGGGTGTTACACATTTGAAATAGAAAATGTGTATATTTTCTGATTGTACAAAAGATTAAGGTGTGAATCGCGTATTTAGTATAAACATATATGGGTGTGTTTATACTAATGATGGCGTGGATTTACGGGAAATGATTGATGGTGTGAAATCAACGAAAAGAAAATATATTTTTAGCCGACCATGAATGGTTAGCGACTCCGGCTCGAGTATATGTAAGGACCCAAATTCTACCCTTGAAAATTTTTCTCATTTTAATTCAATTCCAGTCAATCACTCATAACTCACCTTACTTCAAAAACTTATTTCTCTTCCTCACACTCAATCCATGAATCAATAACCACAAACATAATCATTTTACCTAGAAGTTCTCATGAATCATTCCTGGAACTAATCCTATAACCTATTATATTATCATACAATTAATCTTGCAGAAAAACATAATTCATTCAAATAGCATTTACCACATACAACCAGTTATGGGTCTCCCAAAGTTATAAAACCCATAACTACACATATCAATATTAATCTAAATAGATTTACAGTCATCCCATAATGTTATCAAATTAACTACAACGTCAAGTAGCAAATACAGACAAATAGGTTTATAAACACAAAAGCTTCCTAAGTGAGCTTCTTCTCAAGATCTTTCATTTACCTACAATGGGATTATCATAAACAACACACAAAACAAAAAGGAGTAAGTCATTAGTTCGAAACTAACATCACATGATAATCCACATTCAAATACCATTAAACATTGATATAAATCATAACCACAAATAAGTAAATGTAAATGTTCATATATTCTTTCTTTCATTTTCACGTTATTCATATTCGTCTTATAGTATATATATCCCATAATATATATTCTATAGCACGCCTACTACGTTCTTTCGAAACCTCCTACTTCTCATCATTCATATCCACCCTATAGAATATATATCCCATACTATATACTCTATAGCAAGCATACGACTTTCATTGTGACATTCAGTTCTCATCCTTCATATTCATCTTATAGAATATATATCCCATACTATATATCCTATAACATGCATATGACTTTCATTACTCCGAGTCATCTTTTCATTGGGCCTCCCCCAACAATGTTACTTTCAATTGAGTCATCTTTTAATTGGGCCTCCCCCAACAATATTACTTTCATCGGAGTCATCTTTTCGTTGGGCCTCCCCCAACAATGTTATTTTCATTTGAGTCATCTTTTCATTGGGCCTCCCCCAACAATGTTACTTTCATCGGAGTCATCTTTTCATTGGGCCTCCCCCAACAATGTTACTTTCATTTGAGTCATCTTTTCATTGGGCCTCCCCCAACAATGTTACTTTCATCAGAGTCTTCTTTTCATTGGGCCTCCCCCAACAATGTTACTTTCATTTGAGTCATCTTTTCATTGGGCCTCCCCCAACAATGTTACTTTCATCGGAGTCATCTTTTCATTGGGCCTCCCCCAACAATGTTACTTTCATCGGAGTCATCTTTTCATTGGGCCTCCCCCAACAATGTTACTTTCATCGAGTCATCTTTTCATTGGGCCTCCCCCAACAATGTTACTTTCATCGGAGTCATCTTTTCATTGGGTCTCCCCCAACAATGTTACTTTCATCGAGTCATCTTTTCATTGGGCCTCCCCCAACAATGTTACTTTCATCGGAGTCATCTTTTCATTGGGCCTCCCCCAACAATGTTACTTTCATCGAGTCATCTTTTCATTGGGCCTCCCCCAACAATGTTACTTTCATTTGAGTCATCTTTTCATTGGGCCTCCCCCAACAATATTACTTTCATCTTTATAACAGAA